TGGCGGGGCGGAGGGGAGGAGGGCGGGGCCTCCCGGGCCGCCCGCGCGGAGGGCGTGTGCGCGCAGCGCCCCCTGGCGGCGCGGATGTACCGAGCCCCGCGCTCACCCACCCCGGTGTATTCCCCGATTCCCGCTAATTTCAGCGTCACGGTTTAGTGCATCGGTACAGCCCGTTCGCGGGGTGCGGAGACACGCGGAGGGCCGGGCCCGTGCGCGGCCATGCCGGGGCAGTGGGAGAGAGGCGCAGCAGCCAGGCCCCGCCCCGGCCCAGCCCGCTCCGCGCCCGTCTCTGCCCTCACAAACAACATTATTTTAAACAGAGGATTGGGGGACACCGCCCCAGGACCTGGCTACGGCGAGGAGGACGTGTGCGCACGGAACAGGAGCGTTTCACCACGCCTGCCCGCGGTGACCCAGCGCTGCCCCGGCCAGTGCTGGCGGAAGAGGCACTTGGAACCAAAATGGCAGCAAAAGCTCTTTCACTGGCTTAGTTAAACCCCAACTCTAATAGTTTAGAATATTAAATAACGTGTTTATTACTCCTAGTGTTGAGAAGTACCTTACAACAGATACAGTCCGTTATCACAACCCCTAAACGCCGAGGCAGAAGGTCCAAGGCTGCCCCGTGACACCCCAATGACGCACGGGAGCCTTTCGCCTTCAGTCTTAACGGCTGTAGGGAGGAGAGAGAAGGGAAGAGAGGTTAAGCCTGACCTGGAGAAGCGCTCTAACAGGAAAGGCTGTGGTTTATCCTTTGCTGGTGGTTTAGGGCAACACACTCTGGAGGCAGAAGCGAGCGGACGCTGTTCTGAGCTGGTGCCAGCGATGGCAGCTCGCTGCGAGAAGGCCGAGCATTGCGGCCGCTATTTCTCCCTCAGCCCATCCACGTCCTCCCTCCTCTAAGGCACACGGCTGACGCCTTCAAGGCTAAATATAGTATTCTTGGGTTTTTCATTTCTTCATAGAAATTTCTTCGTTCTGGTGGATTATGCATTTCCTCTCAAGTGCTGAGCCTGGAAGGAGCTCTGTGAAGATCAGAGGCAGCAGGACGGAGGGGAAACCCAGCCAATGGCGGATCGTTGAGTTCTTCTTGATCCAAGGAGAAACTCGATTCAGTATCACAGCCTGCAAGACGCCTGGGACACTTTGGAATTGGTTCGTCTGTTGAGAGCATTGCAAATAAACGTGCCCGTGTCCATCAGCTTCTGCAGATCCACACCCTTCGTGGGGAAAAAGATACGACACCTTGGTACCAGTTCTGCCACATGAAGCTGCCCAGCAGTAACTGGCATCACTGGGAGAGACTAGCAGGGGGTGAGGGAGCCTTTAACGGGTACTTCAACAAGGCCCTGCGTGCCTGCTGCTCACTGGTGCGATTCTGAGCGCCGAAAAAGGGAGAGGAGGAAACTGTCCTGGCGGGTGGGATTGGCGTGGCAAGACAAGGCCCCCAGGCACAGCCTGGCTGACACGGCAGACCCAGAGCCATCCTCCAGCCGTTCCCGCTATGCTCGGACTCCCTGGGCCAAATTTCGAACCCCCAAACAGAGCCATCGTGCGAGAGGCTCAGCTGCTGCAGGCGCTTACCGTGTGGATCCCCAGGCCGTGCAGCATGTACACCAAGTCCTCCGTAGCAACGTTTCCCGACGCTCCCTGGGCGTAGGGGCAGCCTCCAAGGCCAGCGACGGAAGCATCAACCACGCTCACACCCATCTGCAAACAGAACCACCACCCGTAAGCTCCTCTGAAAGCACAAACCGTGGTCCTGCTCCTCAAATCTACGGTTCACAAGCAAGCAAGCACAAAAAAAAAAACCAAACCCTCAAGGAAAGATGCTACAAAGCAAGAGTCTCACCTGAAGCGCTACCAAGATGTTGGCAAGAGCTTGCCCGTAGGTGTCGTGGCAGTGAACAGCAAGAGCCCCAACCGGCACCTCCTTCATGACTGCCGTCAGCATCTCCTTCATGCTGCCTGGGGTCCCAATGCCAATGGTGTCACCGAGGGAAATCTCGTAGCAGCCCATGGAGTACATCTTCTTTGAGACCTGCCCAAAGGCCAAGACACTCACTGAAAAGGCAGCTTTGGCTTTCCCCTCCCCAGAGCTGGAGACCCGCTGTCCAGAGGAATCAGAGTGCAACAGCCACGGGGACAATGGCCTCTTCTCTGGGATCAAAAGTCTCCAGGTCCCCACACCTCCCTGAACCCCCCTGTCCATTTCAGCTGGACTCGGGCATCCCTCACTGCTAGCTGGAACCTTCCCTCAGCCTTTGGTTAACCGGTTTGATGCACCCTCCAGCGCCCAATTCGCACCCATAAGAGCAAGCCAAAACCCTCCCAGATATTCCGGTTGTATTTATGATGAACTCACCTCTGCAACTTTAGCTGCAGAAATCTTCCCTTCATAGGGACATCCAAGGACACAGGAAACGTATCTGGGGTTAAAAGAAATGGGCACTTTTAGCTACAGAACTTCAGTGAGATTACACTGGCCAAATCAGTCAGGACTTGTGCTGCATCTCGCATGCTCTATACAACGGAGAAGTTAATTTCATATTCTAAAACTCAGCCCCGTGGACGAAGCTTACGTAATTAACTATTCAACAGTTTGCCAAGAGTCCACAGCCCTGCCAGGTCTGTGGATCCACGCACTTCCACATGGAATGTCTGCCAAGAGGCTGGTATGGTTTTGGATCATTTGGTAAAGCCGAAACCAGAATAGTTACACGAAGGGCGAACCCTTCTGGAAGGGTGTAACTCATCTACCGTAAGCTTTGCACCGAGCCAGCACCTAGCAGCGTGTCGCCGCGGTGGTGTTCCCACGTTAACGCTCCTCGGTGCGCTGAGCTCACATCTGCCTGCGCCCACCCGGGCAGAGAGACACCCCCAACAAATCCAAAGGTGAAGTTTAAAAGAAACACCGCTCCCCAGCGCTGCACGGGCTGGGCTCCCAAGAGAGGAGCTCAAGTGGTCGCATCTCTCCCCACGACCTGCTTGGTACTACGGTCGCAGGAGGAAGTTCTTACCCCCGGACAGGAATGCTGGCTGCCCTGGCTGCGCTCATCACTTCACTGAACCTCTCCAAACTCTCCTCTATGGAACAGTTGATGTTCTTCCTAGTGAAGAGCTCGGACGCCGCTCCAAAGATGGACACTTCTTTGGCCCCGGCTGCCACCTGCCGATAGGAAGCATCACTTCAAGCGAGCTGATTTCTCTTGCAAGGGAAGCAACAACCACAACCACACCTACAGTCCTCTCATTTTATAAAATATACTTTTTCCCCAACTCTTCCCTGAATAACCCACTTCTTTCCTCCATTTATTCTACAGCAAAAACATGACGACACACCCAAGCTTCTCTTCGAATGAAGCAGAAAGTTACAGATGCAGCAGTAAAGCTACATCTGCGGGATGGGGGCAGGAGAGCTGTGGGACGTGCAGGTAAGACTGAAAGCATCGCTGTCAATTCAAACCGATTACTGGGGTGTTTTAGCAACAGGAAACGTATCACAGTATTTGCTATAATAAACAACAGGTTTCTATTTCCCCACCAAAACGATCCCTTGTAAAGGAACCGCAGGATGAGGCTGCTGCCTGCCAGCAGGAAAGATCCATTTCCCACCCGTAACCAACGGCTGAAACGTCCCGTCGCTGCCAACCCTGCGCGCGAGGCACCCAGAACGTTCAGGCGCTGCCGTCTCTTACCGCCGCCTGAAATCCTTTCAGATTAGGGGTCAGCACAGGGTAGCTGATACCAGGCAATTTATTAATTCCTTGCATGACTTCGGTGTGGTCGGCCATCTGCAAAGGGAAAACGGGAAAGGTTTCTAAAAGTGACAACATCCACTTCTGCAAATTTATAAAAACGAAATAAAAATGATTTCTTTTTAGAACAGAAATATTTAGGAAAAAGGGAAAGGGGCCTCTGAAGAGCAAACAGCACTGCACGGTGGCCGTTCAGTCACGCAGCCAAGCCAGCGCCGCCACGTGCACAACCAGCCTGAGCTGTGTCCGAGCTGCGTGTTTGCTCTTTCGCAGGGTCCAAAGGGAAGGTCCGGGACATCGCAAGCTCCTTGATTTGGCTTTGCTGCTTCTTGCCTGGTTACAAGCCACGGTGACGAGGATTTTGGAGCAAGCAGAATCTTTTCGTCGGATTACTATCTATTATTAGGTGTTTTTATAACGCAGAGGTGTAAAACTTGTCTGAATACTGACCTGAGGAACCCACTTGGGGGAAACAAAGCTGGTGGCCTCTATCACCTGAAGCCCCGTCTCTGACAGCATGTTGATTAAATTGATTTTCACCGGTGTCGGTACAACATTCTAAGCAGAAGAAAAGAAAAACGACCTTAAGTT